GTGTCGCCATAGTGCCGCTATTGACTACATAGTGCAGGATTAAAGTGATCTACTCGACGAGTTGGGAGCCCTGACTTGATGAGTAGGGCTATATAGATGAAACCTAAATTCGGGGTTTTGCACCCTATTTAAACCTCTTAATCCCCACCTTATGGCTTCATTTCCAGCCTCCAAGTCCCAAACCCTAATCCACGAAACCCTAGAGCTTTGTGTGAGTGTGTTAGCCATTTTGAGTGATTTTTGTGTGATTTGAAGCTTGTAGAAGAAGAAGAAGTTAGAGGACTCCAAGAGAAGATTGTAGATCCAGAAGCAATGTTTCATTCCCTTCCTTTTCTAGTAATAAAGTCTATAACTTGATCATTTATTCATTAGATCTATTTATTTTCCACTTTTGAGGGTTTTGGTTCAAGGATCTTGACCCTTGGGGATTTGGACGTCCCAAGCAAGGATCCATTCAGATCTGGGGTCATTAAGAGTTGCTAAGGCATAAAGGTGCAAAATTTATGCCATTAGAGTTCCCATGTAAGCCATAAAGTGTTGTTTTGGCCTTTTTAGCCCAAAAAGGCCATGCATAAAGGGAAAGGTGGGAGCTTTATGTGTCCAAGTAATGTTGGGGGTTAAATCTGTGGTTGTAAGCTTTAGTTAATGCATGGATGGCTTAGGGACCAAGATTTAGGTCCCAAGGAGTTAGGGTTTGAGCTAAACCCATTAAGGAGAGGTATTAACGGGTAAAGTTGGAAACTTTACCCTTAAAAGGACATTTTCGAGGTTTATGTGAAGTATGAAGATTGGATATGAAGTTTAGGGGCTGAATCCATCAAGATAGACAAACAGAAAAGGGAACTCATCGAGTCTAGAAAGGGGACTCGACGAGTTGAGTCGATTTGTCCCAATTCCGTACCAAGTGGAACTCGACAAGTCTGTGAAGGGACTTGATGAGTTGACTCAATTTATCACGAGTATACATAGCATAGGAACTCTACGAGTTAGGAGATAACCCGATGAGTTGGGTCAAACTGTAAGTTGACCTTGAATTTGACCTTGACCAGAGCATTGACTTTGACCAGGGGTAAAATGGTCACTTTACCCTTAGAAGTATTTTCAGTTTTGACTAAGTGTTCCTTGTGAATTTATAGCCAGGGAGTCGTTGGAGCAGCCATTAGAGATTCCTCACTTGAGATTTCATTAGCTATCTTGATAGGTGAGTTTTCCTCCAATAGGAACGGGTCGAAGGCACCAATGCCAACCCGTTTATGTATGTTAGCGTATGTCGGACTTAGATCCGATGCCGAGGATAGCCCAATGTAGCTTATATGTTCCGAACTTCGGTTTGATGCCGGGGTAAGCCCGATGAATGTTTGTATGCTTGATGTCTTCGTGATTCTTGCATGTATTTTGTTGATGTGTTCCGGACTTTGGTCTGATGCCAGGCCAAGCCCGATGAAGTTTTAGCTTATATGTTATGTGTTATGTGTTCCGGACTTCGGTTCGATGTCGGGGCAAGCCCGAGGAATGTTTAATTGTTTATGCTATATGTTTATGTGTTATATGCATGTTGGTATGTTATATGTATACCGGACTTCGGTCCGTTACTAGGCGGGCCCGATGCCGGACTTCGGTCTGATGCCGGGCGGGGCCCGATGTCGGATTCGTCCGATACCGGGCGGGGCCCAATGTTGCGGGCAAGGCCCATTGTATGCTTTTATGTGTTTATATGTATGGTATGTGGTAGTTTAGGGAGACTCGCTAAGCTTTGTGCTTATAGTTTTCAGTTTTGGTTTCAGGTACTTCCGGTAGCAAGGGGAAGAGCTCGGGATGACTGCATAGCACACACCATAGTTTTCAGCCTAGGATATTTTAGACTCTGATATTTTGATACATGGTTTTGATACAATATTTTTATATGATGTTTGAGATACACAACATGTGATTTAATTATGTTGTTTTATGAATTGTGGTTTTTTCTTAAATGATTTAAAACGAAATTTTTGGACTATATTTTTGGGATGTTACACCTCCACTCTCCCCAAAGCATTCATTTCAAAACCCTAGCTACTTTGTGAATATCTTTAGCATTTTGAGTGAGTTTCATGTGTTTTGTGAAGAAGGAATCACTATAGAAGCATTGTTGAGCTTGGAGCTTGAATATCCAGAACTTCCATCCCAGTTGCAAGCCTCAGAAGGTATAAATCTCGCACTTTTATGATTCCTTAGTTTATATCTAGGTTCACTTAGAGTTTTTCATGCTTTTGGTCCCATGTTTTTGGTTCTTGTGAGTAAAAGCCACTCCAAAGCTTGTTTTTGTCATATCTTGTCATTTCTGAGGATTCTACGTCATAAAAATGGGATCTCGATGGTTGTTTTTCACCCATGCAAGAGATTGGAGTCATTGGAATATGTTAAGGATTTAGGGTTTGGTTTTGGACTCCATTAAGCCATGCAAAGTCATAAAGTCAAGAACTTTATGACTTAAGACGTCTATAAGAGTCAAATTTGAATGTAACATGTAATAACAAAGTTTCAACTTTGAGTTTCTCTTTTTCATCCTTTTCTTGAGAAACATCTACTTTCTTTGCTTAACTTATTTCCATTTGAAAACTTTTGACATTGATTCTTGAGAAGTAGTACTTTCATGTTTGGTCACAAGCTATTAAGAGCTTAATAAAGAGGTTGGCAAGTGGCTCGAGTATGCATGGCGTAACCCCTGAGTACACAACACGTAACGGGATTTTGCCCGTTTTTCTTTCTTTGGAAAATTGGTACACAGGGTGTAAGGAAAGAGTATGCATAACGTACTCCTAAAAGTGTAATTGGTCCATTTTTTTGGCCTTGGGTCATATTTGGTTGGCTATATCTTGGAAAGGGTAAAATGGCATTTTACCGTAGTGAGAGAGAATAAGAAATGGACCTTTGATTATGATTATTACCCTAATTCTTAATAAGTGTTGGTTTGATATATATAGTGTAAGGAGATTGATGGAGTTTAGGTAAACAAAAAAAATTAAAACCCTTAAGTTTGCATGCAAACTAAATAGAATCTATGTTTTCTCTATTGAATTTATAACTAAGAACATTGAAAAGAAAACTAGAAACCCTAGGGTATTTTTGAAATTAACATTAGATGGTTTTAGGATTACATACTTTTTAGTGGTTATAACAAACAATTAGAATTCCTATTTGTTGATCTCCTGGAACCAAGCACCACAAGTGTCGTGCCTCTAATGGAATCACACCCAAACTAGCAAGAGAATGAATTAGGAAAGATGCGGGAATTTCTTCCAAGGCTTGTAGAAGGAAGACATCAACAATATCAAGGGATAGGGGACTCCTTATACAGTTGAGGAAACTTAGTGCCAAAGCTAGGGTTCAAGGGATAAGCCTTAGATTCCATTGCTTGGCAATCAAGCAGCCCAATCCCATTGTCTAAGGGCCTTGGACGAAATCTCTTAGGGTTTCCCTTAGATTTTTTTCCACCTAATCCTATGAGGTTATGGAGCCTTCCTTTCTCAACTATTAAAAAATAACAAAAATAGTCCCTATACTTTTAATTAATCTAGTTAATCCCAAAATTAATTCAAGTTAATTTCTTATTAATTATTAATTAAATAATATGAATTCTAATTAATATATTATTTTCATAACACATTAATAAAGCATTTATCTAATTTATTATTTACATAATAAATTAATCTCTCTCTCTCTCTCTCTCTCTTTCTCTTTAAATCATCCTGTCTAATTGCTACGTTTTAGGGAAACCCAAAAAGACTGTGCTATTATTAATTCAAGTATATATATCAATTTTAGTTATGGGCTTAGACACATAATCCAACAATATTCCACTTGGATAATTCTATGACTATAATTGCCGGTATAACTTCTTACATGTCCTAAGATAAGTGATCATACAATCCTCTGTTCTGCAAGATATCATTCGAACATTAGACATGCAATAGAATCAATCTCATTGTCCAATACTTTGTTTCTCGATTTTCGACTTGTACACTACTAGAAAAACAACCTTTAATGACGCGCAAACAATGACACATAATGATTTACGATACGCAAAAGAGAGTGTCCAAAAATTAATGTCATCTCTTATAAAGTTTGAGGCATACAGGGCACGCTTTTGTGCGTGCCCTGAAATTAGTGTCAAAAAAGAAAAAAAAAGAAATATGGAGGACGCCTATTATAAAATGTGTGTCATGTAAGTGTGTCGCTTTATATATATTTTTTTAATGAAACACGCGTTTTGAGCGGGAAATGAAATCCCCAAAAATTAAAACCCCGCCTATGTGAAAAATTAACCCCCCCTCCGCTTTCAATCAGCAAGAAAGAAGCCTAGGGTCTTCGTCTTCTTTTCTCTCTCTCTAACCTAAAACCCATCTTCTTCCCTGTAGCCTTTCTTGTTGTTACATCCATTGACGCCATCGCCACCACCATGCCACTCCGTCTCCCTCCGTTTCTCAATCCGATGTCGCTGCGATACTTTATTCTTCCGGTACAACTGGATTGAGGATCTATGATTTCCCCAATAATCCTTGTTGAATACATGCCTCTCGAATCAAATCAGGTAGAGGAGGACCTCGAGGTGATGCTATGTCACATATTATATCATGTCCCTGTTCGTGTCAATAATACCTTTGGTAGTTCTATTGGTTCTGGCTCCAACAAATTCTATTAGGTTTTTGGTCTAGCATCTTTTAATACTTCATTTGAAATTGCAATCGACATTCTCCTCTTGTATTATTCCTATAATACTTCATGAATGAAATTGATAGGTGGTAATTATGGCTCCTATGATCCTATTCAACCCTTTATCGCCGGTTCTCCTAAAAAAATTAAAGTCCCCATCCTATCTGGAAGCAATAAAAGAACAAGAACCTTTCTTCTTCCTTTTCATTGTGTGTTGTTTCTTCTAGATGTCTAGTTAATTTTGATAATTACGACTTCCATTTTTTCTCTCAGGTATCTTTATTTTCTCTTATTTCAATGACTGCACAATGATGCAACACTACAAAGGAACAACATTTGGGGAGCTAGATCCTCATGTTTTGCAATTGCAGATTTTGCTTTTAGGTTATCTCCTCTCCCCACCTCTTTATTTTATACTGAATGTATTAGGGCAATGGATAATGAAGGAAACAACAACTCGATCTTGGTCAGTGGTGAAAGTGGGGCAAACTACTAAAATGCTTATGCATCAATCAGGTACTTTACATGTTAATAGATTTCTATGGCTTATGTATGTTTCAGTTTCTATGCAACTTCCCCATATTAATCTAGAGAAACTTCTCGGGTTTATTATTTTTTAGGTAATCTGCAGTGATTAGGTTAATTTACTTATAGTTTTGATTAAGGTTTTTTTTTTTTTTTTTTTTTTAATCATGTTCAGGTCCCTTCTCTACTGTCTTCATGTGAGTCTTATACTCGGTAAATAAATATGTAATAAAGAGGAAACTAAACGAAAAAAGTTCTTTTGGTTTTTGCATATATTTCCAGTAGAGCTCAATTTATGGATTTTATTTGCACTTTCTGCATATATTTCCAGTAGAGCTCAATCTATGGTAAAAGCTATTTCATTTCAACTTTTACCCTCATGAATGAAAATGAGAATGTTGATTGATTCTTCAATGGATTCAGCTACAAAGTTCATGTCTAAATAGATTCTTGGATCCTTAATGACAATCACAGAAACAACGCATTTCAGATGTTTTACAGAATTATTTAAAGATTAGTGATTACGACACAGTTGCTTATTTATGAAAATGACCATTATGCCCTTGTCTCTTTCGTCTTCTTAATCTCCTTCATCTTCCTCCACAAGAAACCTGAAACCAAATAAAATCCCCAAAAGTCAAACCAACAAAATCCAAACTCAAATAAAAAAAGAACATAACAAAAACAAAAAACAAATATTGGGATCTGTCAGTGAACAAGAAGTAGTACTCAAATGGATAAAATTACAAAAAGAAGAAAACAAGATGAATTCTCAAATGGAAGAAAAGAGTTTGCTGCCTTTGTGTTGTCTTTTTTTTTTTTCTTTACAGCTGACGGCATGAGGCTTAAGGTTAACTTGTAATTAATATTTGATATAGTTGTCTCCTCTTTATACAATGTAACTAGAATTGTGGAGAGGCGTTACAACTTAAAACTTAATTAATTGTGTTCCCTTCTTGTTAGTTACCTTTATTTCTTAACTCATCTATTTATTTACACGATGATTCCCCTTCCTTTTTTTTGTAATTGATGACCAACTAACTGTACATAAATATTTTGGATTCTTTATCCCCTTTTGTGGGGGTGATATAGTTTTTTATTGGGAGGGAGGTACTTTCAGAAGCTTTTATTTTACTTCAAACATTTGAGCTCTTTTTGGTTATTTTATTATAAAAGGTTCAATAACTTTTAAGTGTTTGGTAATTGGTATGGTAGGTATTGTCTAATCAAGCAAGATCTAAACAGATTCGTACTTTATATCTAAACTTGTTAAATATATGAACCAATCACAGTGTAGATTTTTCGGAAATAAAACATATTGAAGGGAGGATTCTCTTATAAAGAAACTGGTTTTGAATACTATAAGGAATCAAAGAAACATTCTTGTAAACGTTGACATGAAGCAAGTAAACGGGAATGTGTCAGAAAACTGTAGATCAAATGATCATTCTTTATAGCAATTTCTTGAAAAAAAACATCATTGTCTACTCCCACATTCCCATTCATTTTTATGAGAGCTTTTGTCTATTAAATAGTAATTGTTACCCTTGTGTGAGTATGCTTAAAAGTTAAATCTACACTCATGTAAGCAATTACTTAGTATAAAAGTAGGATGATCCTTTATAAAATGTTACACCTTAAAAAGTTGAGTGGTAAATCTACACAGACAATGCCATTACATTCACCCACTAGTGTTTCAACAGCAACCATTAATAGATTAAATGGCTGTAACAAAGTTGATGATGATCAGTGAAAAGAAACTCTGAATTCAAACATATATATATATATATATATATATATATATATATATATATATATATATATATATATATATATATATATATATATATATATATATATATATATATATATATATGGGTAAATTACACGGATCGTCCCTGTGGTTAGGGGTAATTTGCACGTTTGGTCCCTAACAACTTTTTTTAACTCGGATCATCCCGATTGTTTCTTTTTGTTACGCGCTTAGTCCCTGATCGACTTAAAAAGACAATTATACCCTTTTGATTTTGTTTTTATTTTACTTTTTGTTATTTTTCATTTTTTTATAAAAGATAATACAACATTGGGCCCACCACTACCCTTATCTCTTTCTTCGTTACCCTCTTACCCCACCGGGAAATCGTTGACCGCCTCCCCACACATCCCTTCCTTCTAATACGTCCACCCAACGCCTAAAACACACAAATCATCCATCAATTTTCTCAACCATTCTAAACACACATTTCCCCCATCGATTTCCTTGACGTTCATGGGGTAAACGATGGCTAGTAATCCTCGTCTAGGTTTCATCAAAGTTGACAGGCGGGTTGTAGTGATGGAAGTCTGCTTACGATAGAAATGAGGAAGGAGAAAGAGGCATCTTCGGTTTGATAAATATGGGTTCTTCAAAGCTAAAATAGAGAAAGGTAAAAGAAGGCGAAGGGTACTAATACAAATCCATATTGCAGTGGAAGATGGATTTAGGTTTTGAGATTGATTTAAGATTTTCAAACACAAGAAACAATTTCAGCCCTAACGTTTGAATTCAATCCAGACAAAAAAAAAAGATTTCATCAGAAGATTTCTAGCATACAAGATGGTTTTAGATGCCGATTGACTTGCATTAGGTTTGTAGAGGTTTGATTTCCATTATTTACATCTGAGTTTGATTTAAAAGGTGTTACTAGTGGGATGAGATGAATACGTTGGTGGAACGAATAGTAGGTGGAGGTGGCACCAGAATCGATAGCAGGTGAGTTTTGATTTGGTCTTGTTTTCCCTCTTTTTTTCTCACAATCAATAGACACCTTTGTCTCTTCTTGAATCGATAACAGGTCTCCTCCCCTTTCTTCTTATTTTTTCTCAGGTAAACATTGTTTCTTTGGTGAAGAGAGGGTTTGATTGGTTGGTGTTTGCCGGAGATTTAATGAAGTCGTCGGAGTTAGAATGAATGAATCGGAGATGGGAGAATGGTCGAGGGAAGAAGAAGGTTGAAGGGGAAGGAGGGAGGGGCCCACCTGTATTTTTTATTTAAATAAGATAATAAATAAATAAATAAAAAAAATTTAATTAATAAAGAAATGGATAAGGGTAAATTAGTCTTTTTAGAACGGACAGGGACTAAGCGTGTAATAAAAATATAAAACAGGGACGATCCGAGTTAAAAAAAGTTGTTAGGGACCAACCATGCAGATTACCCTAAACCACAGGGACCATCCGTGTAATTTACCCTATATATATATATATATATATATATATATATATATATATATATATATATATATATATATATATATATATATATATATATATATATATATATTATGATCTTTTTGTTTTCAAATCTTCATAGTATGTAGATTATGATTTGAGTTGCAATTTTTGCAGTTTGAAAATGATGGTGCGTCAAAAGCTAAATGCTTACTCAATGAAATGTTCAATAAGAAGGTTGAAAAGTCATTAAGACACAGGTACATTCAATTTGTGTATCATATGTTTAACTGTTGAAGGGGGAAATGCTCATTTATTAGACTCCTAAGTGTTGTAGGAGACAGGAACATCAAGGAAGATGGCAGGGTAATCATGTGATTTCAATAGTTGAATGTATGTTATGCTATTTCCACTTTAGTTCATTCTACTACTAATTTCATGTTCCTTTGGACTATGAGTAGTATAAGGTTGAAGAGAGGGGTAAATATGTCATTCCTAACAAACAATTCATAATTGGTGATGAATCAAAGGTTTTAAATAATTATATCTCTATTAATCAGCTTGGTTTTTTATTTAATTTTTATATAATCTAATTTATGTTAGTGTCTGTGGAAAATTGGCAGAAGATGACAGATGCATGTGTGTATATTGTGTTAACAGAAAGTAAGTGTCTATTTATTTCTATAAAATGGAAGTAAGTTTTTATTTGTAGCATTTAACTGAAGAAGATGACAGATGCATGTGTGTATATTCTGTTTTTTGTTTGAAAAAAGGGATGCTTTGCTACCTGGAAAAAAGGAAACACTTGGACAGGTAAAAGTTTTTTTAATTGGGTATAAATAGATCTATGTGTGTAAAAATATAAATATACCATGACATTTTTTAAATACTACTAAATGATCTTAGGGGGGTAAAATTTATGCAGACCCCAAAGGCTTTTTAGCCGGCAACAACTGAATTTTATACCATGACATTTTTAATTACTATTTCACTCTTTCATATTAACTTTTATTATCTACATGTGTATTAAGTTTTAATATTTTATACAGGTATGGGTTGTATTGAAGCTTGGATTCTTGGAAAAAGGTATGTTACTACATGTGTATTAAATTTTAATATTTTATAACATAGATTGATGATGCTTGAAGCCTTTATGAATACTAATGTGTTGATGATGAAAGCAGGTATCATGTGGAAACAGAATCATAACAATAAGAAGTAGAAACAAGAAGGTGTGCCTTAATAGCAATGTAGTATTAGGTTATATAGTTAGGGAAAACATTTTAATAACAACATACAATCGGATCCCCTTAATACCAATGTATTACAATTTTTTGACATGACGTTATGGATGAAATTGATTGTTTTGTATACATTTGTTTCCATATTTTTGTATTATGCGTAAATGAGTATGGTAAAGACGCGTCGTAAATGTATATCGTAAATGGTTGCTAAAGTTTATGACACGCAAATGCGTGTTATCTTCATTTATGACAGGGGCTTCCTTGATACGCATTGCGTGTCATAAACATGCACGTCGTAAGGTTACAACACGCAAATGTGCGTCGTCATCCTTTATTACACGGCCTTCCTTGATACGCATTGCATGTCGTAAATGCGCATCATCTATAGACGACGCGCAAAAGCGCATCGTCTCTCTTTATGATAGGGCCTTCCTTGACGCGCATTTGCGCGTCGTCTGATCGTTTTACGACGTGCAATGAGCATCGTAAAATGCTGTTTTTCTAGTAGTGGTAAGGACATAGAACTTCTGATTGAACACATCAATTTAGTCCTGTTCGGGCCCACACTATAAGTCAACACCAAATCACCTAAGGGCCCAAAGATATTGCTTTTCCTGTTAGGGTAAAAGGAACGAATAAACTTTGACTTATATGATTGCACCATTTACTCACCAAATCATGCATGACAACACATTTTATAACATCAAGTTACTGATGTGTTTCTTATTATCAATGGACAACCAACTTGTAAACTACAACTCATTTATGTTTGTTCCAAGATTATAAGATATTATCATCTCAGAATTACTCATGATTAATTCCATGAAGTAATTCTATGAGCGTGGGTTAATCCAATACTTAAATCTCTATTTCTATGTACTCATAAACATTATAGCAATACCATTTCTATGTCTAAAACTCCTTATATAATCTATAATTCAATTCATGATAGTCTTCATTCACTACTTACTTCCAAAAGTATGATAAACTATGAAATTTGAATAATCATATTATTCGGGAAGTAAAACATGCAAAAATTAAACACAAGAATAAACAATTGACAAAAGGTACTAAACAAACTCATAAAAAATTCTCTATTATTTAATCACCAAAGGGCAATTAAATTTACTTTCATACAAGTTTCAAAATAACTATTTAACTACTAAAACTAATATCATCTCTCAGCCTTATGCTCGTGGCATGTTGAATGTGTTTAGCCCTACTAAGACCCTTCGTAAGTGACTTCAGATGATATTATCTTCACAACGAGGTGTCCTTCTTCTACTCTATGTCTAATGAAATGGTACTTTCTGTCGATATATATTGATCTTCCATGATCTCTTGGTTCCTTTGTTAAGGTGACCACCCTTTCAATATCACAGAAAAGTTCCAATAACTCCTTAATGGTTGGAACAACTCCAAGATCTTCGATGAAGTTCTTCAACCAAATTGCTTCCTTTGAAGCTTCACTTTCCGTTATGTACTTTGATTCACAAGTAGAATCAGCCACTGTCTCTTGCTTGGAACTTTTACAAGTAACTGCTCTTCCATTTAAAGTAAACACCCGGCCAGATTGAGAATGGAGGTTGTCTCTATCTGTTTGAAAGCTGGCGTCGCTATACCCAATTACTCTCAAAGTATCAGTGCCACCAAGTACTAGGACCCACTCCTTCGTAGATACTTGAGAATATTCTTAACTGATATCCAATGAGCTTTACTTCCATTTCCCTGATAACGACTGGCCATGCTCAAAGAAAAACACGCCAGGGCGAGTACATGTCATAACATACATGATAGATCCAAGGACAGAAGCATATGGAATCCTACTCATTTCTTCTCTTTCTACATTGGTACTCGGACTCTAAGTCTTAGTCAGTTTGGTATTACTCTAGATGGGAAGTTCACCTTTCTTGAAAATTTCCATGCTAAAGCGTGTTAGCACCTTTTCCAAATATGTAATTTACTTTGACTAAGTGCTATTAGTCTTTTACTTTTATTTCGTAGAATTCTTATCTTCATTGATTCATTCAGACCTTAAAAAATTTCAAACACCTTTTGGAGTCCGGTGTTGAGTTGTTTAGTGAGGGCATCATATGCTTCCGCAGTGGGGGCTTGATTGTAACGCCCGTAGATCCGAGCTAGTCAATTTAGAGATAACAGGGGTCGAAAATGACTTTTCGAAAAAAGATTATTTAGAATAAATAATCTTAAACAAGTTGTATAATATGTCTCAAGGGTTCCGTACATATAAAGAACACCGAAATCTGAGTTATAACGAAGAAGTTATGACCAGTCGAAGTTTTACGGCAAAACCGGCACGACACCGGGAGACGTAAATAGTGAATTTATGATGGAGGACTTTTTAGCCTTAGTGATCTAAACCAAAGTTGTAGTATACATTAAACCGAGAACATTCATAAAAAGAACGTCCAAATCTGACTTCGTATGAGGAAGTTATGATTTTTATAAGATTCGGCTTAACAGTACACGGCCCGAAACTCGAATTTTAGTTCGAGCGGATTTTGGCTTACGCAACCTTAATGAGAGTTGAATATATCATTAATAGGAACTCAACCATAAAAATACAGACGAAAACAGAGTCCATATGAAGGAGTTACGAATTCTTCGTGGTCATTTAACAGTCTAATCTCCTCCTACTGTTAAATTTAAGATTGGTCGAGAATTAGCTGACAGAGTCTAAATGAAAGTTGTAGATCTTGTTTTTACCTACGCGTGTAAAAAAAGAACATCGAAAACGAAGCTCGTATGAGAAAGTTACGGGGTTTAGAAGTCGGCAAGGTGCTGCTGCAAAAGGGGTGATGTGGCTGAATAAGGGCCAATGCTTTCTCCCCAAGGCAAGCCACCGGAGGGTGATACCTGGCATGGACTTGACGAGTAGGAGGACCTACTCGACGAGTAGATCTGTTTTCCAGCCTATAAATAGAGGTGCCAGGCTCCCTCATTCTTCACACCTTCCCAACTTCACTTTCTCTCTCTAAACTCTCTCTCTAACCCCCCAAAACCCCCCAAAAAGCCTAGGGAACCTCCCTAGCACCTGAAGGAAGACCCGAGGCTCCTGGAGTCTCAAGAAAAAGGGTATTTTAGCTCGGAAACGCTGCTCTAGTGAAGCCTAATTTTGCGAAAAACCCGTCGTAAGTGGGCTATGCCTACCCTATCTTTAGTATAGCTTATGTTTTAATATTGTAACGTTATTAGGAACTTATAATGAGTATTTGGGATATTATTATGAGTTATATAAGAGTGTTTATTAACACTTATATAATAGTAATAATATCTAGACTATTAATTAGTCGCGGTTAACGTTAGACTAAACCCTAGTGGTAATGATACTAGCTTTTGTCCGAGGGAAATTGTTTTAACAGTAACGAAGTTTTGTCCGAGTACCAAGTCATCACCTTATCATGTGAGTGCATGGTCCCTTTCATCTTACACATAGATATGAGGTATTTTATATAAACTACGTGCTATGTGTGCATATTATCTGTATACTTGCTATCTATGCTGGATGAACGATTTTATACAAGTTTTAAATGATTTAAACTGTATACGTATTTTATATCTACAAATATGTTGGGTATAACATGGGTAGATGAATGATGAGAGATAAAAGATGATATGAATGACCATTGGCAGCTATGGACTTAGTGCCTATTGAATAAATGCTGCTAGATATGAACTTAGTACCTGATAGATAAATGTTGGTAGCTATGGATTTAGTACCTAAACACTGGTAGCTATGGATTTAGTACCCGGTGAATGAACTTTAGCAGCTATGGAATTAGTGCTTTACGAATGAGCATTGGCAGCTTTGGACTTAGTGCCAATCCTATAACCCCGGAAGCGAAGGACTTCAGAATGAACGAATGCAGGATAGATGACTCTTAGGGTAGACTCTTAAGAGTAAGGAAGATAATGGGGATGGGTAATTGAGTTGATTGTTTGATTGTTTAAACATAATAATTATATTATTGTGGGTTGAAAACCCTATGTACTCACCAGGTTTCCCAACCTGACCCACTCAGTTTATTTATATCACAGGTGTTGATATGAAGTCACATTACACTGAGAGATTAAGGAGATATAAATCACTAGTAGTAATGAATGTAAGTTCTGTTTACGCTTATGTTTCTGTATTGACGATGACATCCCAAATATTTTAAAATGAATAAAAATACTTTTCTTCAGAAATGCCTTGATAACGTATTTATCATGTTTTATTGGGAACAAATTCCGCAACATTTTTATTAAAAGAGGTACTCTGATTTTTATAAAGCATAAACAAAATCGGTCTTTTCTAGCCGTGAAAATGGGGTTGTCACAGCTGGTATCAGAGCATTAGTTTAAGCAAACTAGGAATATAAATTTATTTCTTGACTTAAACTTAGAATGCTAAGCGAGGATCATGAGGAGTGTGTCCAATATATTTTAGGTAGTACACCTGAATAGACACAAGCACTAGCTTAATTAGGGAAGATGCCTAAAATGCTTTTATGTGCTAAATAATTTGTGATGCTTTATGCTGTTGTTTGATCAGATCTATGGTCTATTTCCGACCTGATCTGAAAATTTTATGTGTTCAGATTTCTAAACGTTTAATTATTGTATTAGAACTGGTATGTAACTTTTTGGAGTAATAGGGAGATTTACACGTCAATCGTAAATAAAATCTTTCCTATCTTAATTCTTGTCATTACACACCGAACGTCTGAATTGGTGTATAGATCGAAATGGAAAGAACCTAAAGTGGAGTCGGGAATGCAAATGAAAATAGGAATCAACAGCCCCTAGTGATTGAACAAATACATGTTGTAGTAGAAGCTGCACCTGAACCAATCACCATGGCTGGAGTACAAGCCATGATTCAGGCTATGTTAGCTGTACAAAGGGAAGAAATGAGGAAGATGTTGCATGAGAATAGGGATGAACCTACCATGCCCATTGAGCAACCTGAGCTGAT